CCCCCCCCCCCACCCCGCACTGGGCAGTGGAAAAGCAAACAGGGGCTGATAAGGCCCTTCCTTCCTGAGGGGGGGGAAACACACATGGCCCCTAAAGTACCTCCGGCGGAACCGGGGGCCATAAAGCGCGGGGAAGCGGCAGGGCCCTGTTTGCTCTCCCTGCACCTTTCCGCCCCCCTCCCACCTCCTGGGGGGTGTGGGGGCCCCTCACCCTCCCGGCACCCCCCCCATTCAGGGTCCAGCCATCCATCTTCATCCCCTCCTCCTCTTCCTCCCTGCCCCTGAGGGAGATGGGGGGGCAAATGGTGGGCACCTACCGCCCTGTCCCATTTGGGTTCCTCAGGGTCACCCCTCGTCCTGCCCCGGGGCGGGGGGTGGCATTTGTACCCACTGTCAGAGCCATCCTGTGACCTTTGGAAAATTGCTGTTTACTGTCACTCGGGGGGAAATGGCGCAGAAAGCCCTCACCTCCCTTCTTCCCCCCTGCTAATCCCCCCCCCAATCCTGGTGGCATCAGCTCTGTCTGGAGTGAGGGGGGGGGGGCACCCAAATCCTGATTTCCCCCCCCACCTCCGCTCCTGCCTCAACTTGGGGACAACTGTGACAATGTGGTGTCATCGCTGCCGGCATGTGGGGTTTGGTCCCAGTCTGCCATGGGGTTGGGGGTGTCTCCCCCCTCTACCTCCAAACCCCATGATGGGGCAGCCCCCCCCCTCCATCCGGGTGCTCCTCTGCTGGGGAGGGGGCTCAGCAGCCCCCACTGGGGTGATGATGGATTTGCCCTCAATGTCCTGCGGGGTGGGGGGGAGGGAGGGGGCATGCACAGCCCCCATCGATCCAATTAGCCCTTCCATCGACCCGTGCTTTCGTTAGTGGGGACGTGAAAGGTGCTGCGGAGGGGGGGGACATACGGGGGCTCAGCCCCCCTCCCAGGCTGGCGTGTGGCCAGGGCAGCTTGTTGTCCCCCCCGCACACCGCTGTGACGCTGCAGCCACCCCACGGGGACGAGTTTCCCTGGGGCTCGGGGACCCCACAGTGACACTGCTCCCAGCTGGGACCCTGCCGCCGCTCACCGGGGTGACAGCCAGGTCAGGAGTGGGGAGCGTGTCCCCTCCAGCTGGGACAGTGACATCCTGCCGGGTCCTGCTGTGCCCTGTCCCCTCCAGCCGGGCCGGTGGCACCGCACGGGGTCCCGCTGAGCTGTGTTCCCTCCGGTCAGGCTGGTGGCATCCCACAGGGTCCCACTGTGCCATGTCCCCTCCAGCCGGGCTGGTGGCATCCCGCCATGGTCTTGCTGAGCTGTGTCCCCTCCAGCCGGGCTGGTGGCACCTCACAGGGTCTTGCCAAGCCATGTCCCCTCCAGCCAGGCCAGTGGCACCACACAAGGTGCTGCTGAGCTGTGTCCCTTCTATTCGGGCTGGTGGTACCTCACAGGGTCCCCACCAACCTGTGTCCCCCCCGTTCGGGCTGGTGGCGTCCCATAGGTTCCCTCTGAGCCATGTCCCCTCCGCTGGGGCTAGTGGTACCCCATGGGGTCCCACGAAGCCATGTCCCTTCCACCTGGGCTGGTGGCATCCCATGGGGTCCCATGAAGCCGTGTCCCCTCTGTCCCCCTGGCTGGAGAAGTGGCTGCTTCTGTGTAGGAGCATCCCAGGGCTTTTGGGGACCCCCTTTCTCCACCTCTCCCTGTCCCAGTGCCCACGTGGTGGCTGTGGTGGCACCTTCCCAGTGGGGGACTTGGAGGCCCCCCCCTCACAGCACGTCCCTGCTGGGTGGCTCCGTGCCTCAGTTTCCCTCTGAAGCGCTGGGCGGGTGATTGCTCCTTAATGCCAAATCCATAATGAATTAGTGTGTCGTGTCTCTCCCCCCGGCACGGGGGGACTCAGAAAGGGCAGCTCATCCGTCCTGGAGGGTGGTGACAGTGGTCGATGGTGGTGACGGGGGGCTGCGGTGACAGGGGGCTGCGGTGGCGGCTCCCTGCCCTGCCCATCTGGGGAAACTGAGGCAGCCGCGGGCTGTGTCCCGTTCCCTGCGCTGTCCCCCTGCAGGGGGGGCTTCTGTCAGGGCTGTGGGTTGTGTCCCTTGTGCCCTGTCCCTGCTGTGGCATGTTTGTGTCCCTGTGTGTGACCTGTGTCCCTGTGTGCCATTGCCATGTCCCAAGGCTGTCTCAGTGCCATGCATGTGTGCCATGGTTACGTGTGACACCTGTATCTGTGTGCCAGGGCTGTGTGTCACATGTCCGTGTGCCAGGGCTGCTGTCACATCTGTGTCCATGTGCTATGTCTGTGTTCCATGGCTGTGTGTGACACCCGTGTCCGTGTTCTGAGGCTGCTGTCACACACATGTCCATGTGCCATGGCTGCGTGTCACATCCATGTCCGTGTGCTGTGTCCGTGTATCACATCTGTGTCCATGTGCCATGGCTACATGTCACACCCGTGTCCATGTGCTGTGCGCGTGTGCTGGGGCTGCTGTCACATCCGTGTCCATGTGCCATGGCTGTGTGTCACACCCATGCCCATGTGCTGTGCCCGTGTGCCATGTCCGTGTGCCATGGCTGCGTGTCACATCCATGTGCCGTTGCTGTGTGCCACATGCCATGGCCATGTCTGTCCTGTGGCTTCGTGCAGTGTCCCTGTGCCATGCCCATGTGCCATGGCTCCATGTCACACCCATACCTGTGTCCCTTGCCTGTGTGGCATTGACATGTGCCACATACTGTGTCCCATGGCTACATGCCATGTCCCTGTGTCTCATCCCTGTCCCCTGTGTGTGCCCTGTGCCTGCACCCCATCTCTTCAGTACGGGCTGGGGGGCTCTGCCAAGGGATGGTTACAAGGTGCTGGCACGTGTCCCCAGGGCCCGGGGCTGGTGGCGGGGGGGCTGGTGGGGTCCTGCCTTGCCCGTGGGTCGGTGACGGGTGAGGGAGGAGCCAGCCGCCCCCCCGGAGGATATAAAACCCCCGGGTGGGTGGAGGAGCTGCTGTGTACCCGGCTCGGTGTCCCCGGCGCTGTCACCCCGCTGCCTGTCACCTCCCGCCTCCTCCACCGTGAGTGTGGGGACGGGGCTGGGGTCCCATGGGGGTCCCACAGAGGAGAGGTGTCCCTTGGGGGGAGGCTGGGACCCCCTGGGAGGGAGAGGATCCCTTGGGGACAGGAGGGGTGTCCCTGGAGGGGAGGTGTCCCCTGGGGAGGACTGGGGTCTCTGGGGTCCTTTGGGGCAGGAGAACTCCCTTGGAGACAGTGAGGGAGGGTGTCACTAGGGGAGATGGGGGGGTCTCTGGGGTCCCTGGGAGGGATGTGTCCCGTTGGGGACTCGCATGGGGTGTCCCTGGAAGCAAGATGTCCCTTTGGGGAGATGGGAGGAGGTTCCTGGGGGTCCCATGGGGAGAGAGGTGGTCTCTTGGGGACATTGGGAGGGTCTCTGGAAATTCTGGGGGGGTGAGATATCCCTTTGAGGAGGTGGGGGTGTCCACAT